GAAACACGATCACCGCGAGTGTCGCTCAGGGACGGACGTGTACGCATTTTTACGGTGCTAACGCTCTGCAAAATGAAGAAAGTCCGCCCCCAAAGAGAAAACGTATTTTCCGACGAGTGAAAACCCGACGAATATACGCGAACGTCTCTCAAAAGGGAATAACAGCGGTTCGTGTTGATTCTGAATATCAGTCTCTCAATTCTTACTCGAGTTATCGTGCGGACAGACAGACAAACAGACAAACAAACAAACATACAAACAAACAGAATGAAACTTTTCTGGTCAGTGGAGTTATGGGCTTCGCTAATCGCTCAGCCAATCAGGATAATGTCAGGATTTTGGGGTTTAAGTGTCAGGATAAATAGTTTAGTTAGTACCGGTTATTGCCCTGCGGCTCGGCGCTACTTCGGCCAGCGGCGCGGCGCTGTGTTCGTACCCCAATCTGATATATTTTTTCTGAAATATAATCCCTATTTTTTTTCTTCACCACTCAAAGATAGCACTATTTTGCTGTAAGCTTGTTCACAAAATGTCAGGGTAAAGTCACTCTTTCGTCAGGATTTGGTCAGGAGAATGTCAGGATATTCCGAAACTGGGACTTCGTGACAACCCTGCAGGTGATCCGGTGACCCCCCCCGTACCGCTTGATCTATCTGCATGAAAATTTGTCCACTCGTCCTCCGCACTCTCAGGTAGACTGTCGTGAAAAACCCTTGTAAGCCTTGTTCGCGGCCAACCATGACCGTCGGCACCTAAAATACTTAGAGTGATCATTTTCAAGTCGCATGACACCTGGCCGCCGTTTCCAAGTCACCCAGGGCAAACGGGGCATTTTGAGGCGAAAATATCAATTCCCCGACTTTGAGCCAAGGTTGCGACCTCAGGACGTTGTTTGCCAGGAAAAACAAAAACAAAAATCTGAAGTTTCAACGAAAACTGAGTAATTTTCGGGGGGTTACCTTTTTAATATCTAAAAGATGTCAGGACGACTTACCCTAATCCCCCCCCCCCTCCCCCCATTTAATACGCGCCTGGCGGGCCGGCGCTGGCGCAACCACGCACAGTTCTTAGGCGCTGCCACTGTAAAAAAAAATCCATCTTAATTTTAAAAACACGGGTTTTGAAGCAGTTTACAAAACAAATTCGCTCTTAAATTTAAGAACAAATGTTTTATGAGAATTAAGGACATGTTTTGAAAGAACATGTTATACAATGACAAAAATTCTCTTCTTTTCCAGCCTAACGCAAATCTAGGAAATATTTAGTTCATTTCCCTCCGGACCCAACCCTATAACCCAACTTTGTACACATTAATGTTTTTACCTTACCTTACCTGGATGGATTAAAACCTCGGACCTTTCTGTGGCATTTGATAGAAGTGACGTAAGTCTGACTCACGTCACTATCAGAGTTAGACATTGTACATCATTTAACAACTCAAAACAGACATGTACAGTACATAGCAACTCCACAACTTAGTAAAACATTCCGACGGAAGTCAATAAGAGGCAGATGCTAATCAATAGAGGTGACGCCAGTCCGAGTTGCGTCAATTTAATAGAACTGTTTCTTTGCAACATGTGACGTAAGTCAATGAAACAGAACCAAATATATTGTTTGGTCATCTGGGATCAACATAAGCTTGTGTTCAAGAGCTCACATTGACATTCTAAAGTCATTTCAAGCTGAATCTGCATTGGAGCTGGAATACCTCTTCTGTACGGTGTCATAACTTGCGTCACTTCTCACTGAAATGAAACATTTCTTTGCCCTGTATATTCAGATTTTCCAGAAGCAACCAAATTTCTCACTGTAATAAGTGACGCATAACATTGTCTACCAAAAGCAGAACTGTTTTGATAGCAAACAATTCATTTGGTTCTATTTCATTGACTTACGTCGCATGCGGCAAAGAGCAGTTCTATAAAAGTGACGCAAGTCTTGACTTGCGTCACTTCTATTGAACGGACTGGTATAGCAAAGTGACGTTAGTCATCTATCAGCTCAAGTACTGATGGAACAACAAAAATTATTTTTGGCATGTATTTATGACATCCTAAGAAGTGTTTATTCACCTCTTATGCAGAAGTGTGGCAACCAGATTATAGGAAACGTTTTATTCATTTCGTGAAAAACAATATTTTGTGACTTACGTCACTTCTATCGAACGCCACAGCTCTGGGTTCGGATCCTGACGCCTTCGACTGCGCGGCTGTCGAGACATACCTG